GCCCCTAAACTTATCCCTCACATATTCACCTAACAACAATGATTTATAGGTGACAGCAAAATGTTATCAACAGCCTATTTAAACCTCTTTACTGTGATAGCCAACCTAACAACCAATTAATGTTAGTATCGAATTGCACAAATCTGATTGGTCACTTCATCAAGTGACCAATCAGCTGATTTGAATTGTCACTTCATGTAGAGCCAACGGAAGCGGTAGTATTTTGAATTTTTCTCTGGACTTACTCCTTGGAAGTATTTTAGCAGTACTGTATTCACTATCAAGTGGTAAGAGTTGGTTTTGTTTTATTGTTTTATTATTTAGTTAGTTTACCACTCTAGACACGCTAGCCTCCTCCTAGGCTCTAGGCCTAGTAGTAGTGGCTGGTAGATGAAGAGGCCCGGCCTAGCCCAAAGGCCTAGGCCTAGCTGTAACGGTAATACTAGCCTAGCCGCTGTACAGAGACAGACAGAACTGAGGTTCTCTCTAGGCCATTGAGGATATAGGGCTGCCTAAAACCTGGGCCTTTTGTTGGCCTAGCCAAGCTGTAAGTTAATTGGCCCATAGTCTAGCATGCCATAAGAAGAGTGGTAAATTGAATTTGGGCCGTGTCCTCAGTAAATGTCCATGATGCTTTAATAAAATAATGGGTTTAGGGTTAACTGGGGAGGGGGTGGTGTAAAGAATTGTATCATTATTTGCAGAAAGTTAATGTATTAAATCTCTAGGCCTATACTAACATAAGTGGTGATTTCATTTCAGAATACTCAAGTCTCAGTAACTATTGTAATTAAGTGAAAACTCAATCCGGTCAATCTTGTAGTTGAAAGCATTAATGTTTCTTTAATGACGTATCTGTGAAGGAACAGAAAATTACCTGACATTCTATAGTGCTTTAATAAAATAATCGGTTTACGGTTAACCGGGGGGGGGGAGGGGGGGGGGGGGGGGGTGTAAAGAATTGTACCATTATTTGGAGAAAGTTAATGTAATCAAAAGGCCTATACTAACAACATAAATGGTGACTTTATTTCAGGATTTTCAAGTCTCGGTACTACTGTAAGTGAAAACTCGATCCAGTCTCAATCATTGTAGTAGGAAAGCATTGTTTGTTTGAAGACGTATCTGTGAAGGCCAGAAAATTACCTGACTTACCTAAAGGTGAATATATGTTTTGTTGACGTTTTATTTTTACTGTCCTGTACTATTAATTATTAACAACATGCTATAGATGATGCTGTAGTTTACACGATAGAGTTTAATCAAATTTAATGTGTATATATAGGCCTTAAGTGATATTAAAATTGTAATGTAGGCTAAACTAAAACAATATTTTTTTGATTAAAAAAGAAGTAACTGCTAGTCTGTCATTAGCTACATATTTGTATATTACTCCTATTTCAATACAATAATAAATGGATGTAATACATTTAATAGTGGTTTTTATAATATGCGCTCTATATACTGTATAAGTTTACCATTATTATTCCTTTTAAAGATCTTGTTTTGTTATATCTTTCAGCAAGAGTGAACTCCGAAAAATGTTAGTACAAGTCACAGTGATTCAATATTTGAAAATAGATTTGTTCAATGGCATAATTCATACTAATTTAGCTTGGTACCATCGGAAAAGAAAAGGCATGGTTATGGACAGTTGCTGCTGCAATATCACAAAGAATGCTGGTTTATGCACACCTGTAACACAAATGGTTCTTGAATATTGTTTTATATACAGTAATAAACTCTTGTATTAGGACTACATTACGAAAAAAAAATGCTCATTTAAACAGCTAAACTGTAAAGCAGCCTTGAATTTGGGGTACAGTATGTTTAGCAGTAAGACATTAGCAAAACGATTATAAA